ACCTTAAGCTAGAGATAGATTAAACACAAAACAAAAGCTAAACACAGATCACAAGGAGTGGGGTGGGGCTAATACCTCCCCGAGGCACACAGAGATTCGACAACTCTCCTCCTGAAAGAACTGTGCACAGAGAGCGAGCACCTGCAAAATTGAGCTTTTCCAGTCGGTGCATTAGTCATATAAATCATACATAAATCTAATTAATATATTTTTTTAAAAATATACATTTATAACCATATGTATTGGGTTTAATGATATTCTGTTTGATCGTGTGTGTATATGCTTTTTTGCCTGTTTTCCCATAGGTTACATGCACTTTTGATTATAATCAACATATGATTCATAAGTTTGTAATACACAAATGTCCAGTGCTTAAGAGTGCAGATTTGACCTTGTCTGTTGCCTAAGCCTTTCAAAGGACCGGAACATTTGACTTCTGATGTTCTCCACTAGACATGATTGGACAAAATCTTATCTCAACCTTTGTGACCTTGACCTCAGTAAAGTTACATTGATTCAAGGTCATCAAAAACTCTATCTACTATCAAAAACTATATTTAATATCTTATGCCCCGTGGGGATCTTTGTGACCCCCTTGCTTGTCGTAAAAGGTGACCTCCTTCGGATGAGTATAAGGCCCCGTGTCACAGCAGGTGTGGCACATTGAAAGGCCGTTAGGCCTAAATTTGCAGCCCTTCACCGGTGGTGACGTCTCCATATCAAACACACAATCAATCAATCTACTATCTTATTATCTTCAATAATTATGAGCAAAGTACAATTTATCAATAAAGTTCACTCTATAGACAGGCAGAGACAGACTAAGCAAAACAACATCTCCCATGGAGTTTCTTTATTGGTGGCAGAGAGAAGCATATACATGTACGTGTACAATACATGTAGATGAATTCATATTTATTGCTGATAATGAAAAAATAAATATCATACAAAGGGCCACGTTGTCTGACAGTTACAAAACGATATTAAAGTATTGACCCTGAAAATGATTCTATTGGATTACATATTGGATGCACGCGGATATGGTTTTAATCATTTACTTTTAATATTATGATACAGTTTTTAGAATTTTCATTGGCTAAAATACTGTCGCTATCACTTTCCGTGTCTTTGTTCAATTTTTCTTGATTTTGGTCCGTACATGAGCATATTTACCTGTATATCGATTTTCACTGATGTCAAAATCGAAACAAAGGTGAGAGCTGCCTTAATTTTTTTTAAGCTTGACCTTTTTGAAATTATAAAGAAAATTTTAAGTATTGATTTAAACAACTGCTGTTTAAAGGTACATGTATAAAGATTATCTAAGGTTTTTTGTTTACAAATTCCCGAGAAAAGTATTATACTTTTAAGTTTATTATAAGTATATGTTTTGGTCGGTAAAAAGAACAAGTCTAACAAATGAGTCGTGACCTTTTGGTACTCAAAGATAAAAATAAAATGAAATGAATTAAGCATCTGTCTAAAATAAAGTGGAACAATGTCATTTTAAGTAATTTGACATAAATATTATTTCCTCATCTTCTCTTTGGTAAACATAACACAAAACATTGGGTCTTAATTCATAGTTTTGGAAAGGTATTAAGGTTATAATTAAAAAAAAAAAATGAAAAATTTTAATTTATATTTCAAGATTTCCTTTGTGTTTATAAGACTTTTATATATCAATAAAATACTAGATTAAAAAAAATAATTAAATCTCTAGTACTAGTCCGAAATGGGACAAAGAAAAATAATGCAAGCATTATTAATGTGTTATAAGATTGTTATGCATTTCTTGTTTCAAATATAAATGTTCGCCAAATTTCTTTTACATGCATTTTATGTTCTGTCTTGAAGTAAAATTAAGTCAGATAGACTATTTTATAAATTAGAGATAAAAATCTATCACTCATTTTGAAAGATATCAGGTATCCTGTCACGCTGGAATAAAAAATGCTGAAAAGCATACTTCCTTAAATTTGAAGACTTGTGAGTATAGCCTTCGTTTGTGTCAAGTATACACTTCGAAATCTCCTTCGTTAAAAAGACACAGAATGGACAAAAAATATAAAAGTTCCTTACCTTTGACCTTGTGAAACTTGCATTGGTTTCGAAGTCATGACACAAACCTACTCCAGTAATAAGCAATTTGTACGGAATATATGAAATACTTTTACATGTAACTATGTTTATGAGCAAGGTTAAATTTGTGGACGGTGGCACACATAACAAAATATGGTCTCTGGAAAGTCCATTCCCTTGCCAAAAATGTAAACAAATGTATTTAACAAATAAAAAAAATGTCTGACATTTACACAGATATAAAAAAATACTGACCATGAAAATTAAATAATTAATTTGTACCATTGTATAGGAACACATTTACTTGAATGTTTTATTTTTTTGTGTTTATATCACTAACAAGACATTTTTTCTTGATGTGAAATGCTATATAGCATATGATGTTGTGCAATTCTTCATACTCAGAAATATGATTTTGTTGTTTAAAGTTCCTTTAAGCATATTTAACTCATATTGAGGAACATTTGTCGGTGGAGGGCTGCAAATTTAGACCAGTACTCGGCACTAGAGACCTTTGAGCAGTGAAGGATCTTTTTCTTGCCAGCACCTACTGCGACACGGGACTTCGGTTTATACGATTTCACCCGAAGGACTGATCTCAACGTCCCGCAGTGGGACTCGATCCTGCGGCGTAAGGATGAAGTCCTATTCCACGACTCTATAGACTCAACCACTGCGCCACGCGAGCGACGTACATGTACGAGGGGTGATCAAAAAGTTCGCAAACTAATTGAATAACTTCCATACAAGAAACAATATTTGGTTTTAATGTTGATTATATTTTAAATTAATCCTCCCCGATTTTAATGCACATCAACCAACGTTCTGCGCATGCGCGAATCACGTGATATTGGCGGTCACGTGACCCCCTCCGTAGCATTCTGTCACAAAAGTTAAAAGATTTTTCCGAGTTTTATATTTCTTTCCATGTGAGTTAATTCTTATGACAAGAACAGTTAATTTGTCAGAAATGGTCATATCTCGGCAACAGAATGGGTGGATAATAACATCCTTTCCAAAAATAAGCATGGCAACCATTAAAACACAAATCTTCTGTCTCAGGAGAGACCTTTATTCAGGGTGGATAGCGAATGGGTGCATCCTTTTTATCATATCTAATATGTTTAAAATCTAAAGTAAACGATATCTTAGGTATTTAATACTTATATCATTGTTCAAATATTCAACTATTTTTCAAAGTGCTAATTGGGGGTCTTTGATAGCAAATTGCTTAATTAAAAATACATATCTTTTCAAACTTGCTTTCACTGGGCAAGATGACAAGTATCATTTTTAACCATCAGCCTTCCTTCACTAAAACGATTAATCCAATCATTAATTGAATTTATAGGAACTCATTTATCTCAATAAACAGTGTACAAATTTTTATATGATACTGTAGAGGGATTTCTAAGATATTACAATAAATTGTACAATCGTTTGTTGAACGAGTTCGACTGAGACAATCATTTTTCGTCACAAGTGACCTAAATAGTGACGTAATTTTCACATTGTGACGTCACAAACAAGGAGAGAAACTTTATTCAGCATATGCTATTTATAGACCTTGTGTATGGCTATGTGTGTACCGAATTTCATTCTAATCTGAATTGTAGATATAGAGATAGTTTGCGAACTTTTTGATCACCCCTCGTATTTTTGTTCCAAAATGTTTTATGTCTTTCTCTTTTTACGGAAATGTTTCAACTGCTTTCGATATTTTGTTTTTCGTTTTCCTTAATTTTGGTTTTATGACGGAAAGTCTTCCCTGTCATTCAAAATACACATCCTTCATAACGACAGTTACCTTGGCCGTTTCAATTCAGGTAAATCGATAAGAACATTCAATCACTTTTATTATTGATATCAAAGGAAATGTACAGTTAAATCAGCCAAAATTATTTTAATTATCAATGCATCGTAGAAGTGCAAATGGAATAAAAATCCAAACATAGACACAGAGAAAAATGCATGCCAGAGTTGATTGAAATGATGAAAGAGCTACTATGATGAACACAGGAAACACTTGGTCTTTTGTCGTATTACGGGGCCGAGAAGAACCAATCCTACAAAGATATTGATGAAAAATATATTCCCCCACTTCAAATAAAATTGTCAATTTTTTTTTTGTATTATTCATCCGGCATTTCTCATTGAATGGTGATCAAAATACTTTGCAAATAAATTTTTAAATGGTACATGGATTTATTTCTTACCTTGAAAATGTCTTTATCTAATAGATCTAATAAATATATATATATACACGATATAGTACTACAAATTAAACTAACAGCGCTTCTATCTTTTTCCAATTACAATAATACATAGTAATAATTACTTTTGCTTGGTTTCAAATTAGACTTGACACTGAATGTGTTTTGTGAAGGATTGACTTTGATTATTAGCAATGTTCATATCGAAAACGCTATATAAAACAAACACGAAAGCGAAACAAAAGGTTTCTGCAAAGAACGCCATTTTTGTGACAAAAATAGTTAATTATTTTCACATTTATTCTAAATATAGCTTAATACTCAGGAACAGGATACAAATTTTCAATAATAACTTGGATAATCATCCCGCAAGAAGTGGGATTGACACAAAAAAGAAAGTTTAAATGTAGCTTTGGCATTAAACTTAGCATCAATGTCATCCATTTTGTTGAATTTTAATGAATTTTCAATTATATCTTCTTTTAAATAACAGAATTAAGGATTTTTGTAGTCAATTAAAATTATTTGGAAACATGCATCCACAAAAAATAAATAAATGAACAAAATTTTAAAAATCTGAAAAGAAACCTTGGTACCTTTTCTGTATAGTCAAATGCAAGTCTCTGAAAGTCAAACAGATTATTTTTATTATTTCTCCCACTGGATATCCAAAATAAAACTAGAGGAGACAATCCGAGACATCCATATAAATCTAAAACATGACTGTCAAATAAGTGTGAGAAATATAGTGATTTTATTGGTAATTGACATGTAAGAGAAGAAAAGAACCAACTCAATCCTATATAAAGTATTGATGTTGAACAATAATCAAGTGTTAGCGACAAATATCTGATGCTCAATCTATAAAATAAGAAATCATGACTTTAATAGCAGGAAGTTTCTTCTATTCTCAACGAGATATTTCCAGCCATTGGTCGAGAATTTTATCAGCTGGTGTGAAATGTTTCAGATTTCTTTGTGTATATCATTTTAGGATCGGGAAATCAAGATAAATCAATTTCTGTGACAAGACTTGTATTTTTAACTAACAGAATTACTTCAATGCTATTTGTATCAAATGTGAAAGTCGTCAAAGTCTTGTCTTAATCCGCGTATTCTGATTAGTATTTGTCATTGGGTGTAACGGATAATCGTGAAACATCCCGAATGTTATCAGTAGCAAATAACACGCCAGTGTTGTATTTTTACCTTACTAGGCAAATGCTATATTTGCACAGTGAGAGATATTTTAAAATGGATTATGCCTAACTGTCAATATTTTATGACAAGAAATTAGATAACAATGTATGATTTAAAAAAAACATCTAATGAAAGTCAATTGAACATTCTCATTTTTACCTGATGGTAAGGTCATGACTTTCGTATATTATACCTAAGAAATGATCAATCGAAAACAAAAATGGATAATACTTCAAGTATTTAAAAAATCAATATCATAAAATGCCATTTTTTCAGGAAAAAGTTATTCGAAGAGATCTTTAAACATATGTGTCCAATGTCTGTTCGTCGCTGTCCCAAACACATGTGTCTGTGGAGTTTTCGATTTCCTGGGATAGACTTTTATCCTCCCAGTCGCTGGAGGCTAAATTCGTCACGTGATCGTCCTCATTCTCAGCCTTTTGGGGACAATTTTTGTCCGGAGGAAATACAAAAATTTGTCCACTCTGTACGAACAGTTCATTAGCACTCGATGTCGACACTCCAGAATCGTTTTGGAGGTCATCAGATAAAAACATCGTAACCAAATTGTGGGGAGCATCTTCTCTGGTTTTGTTACGGTAACGCCTTGGTCTATCAGCAAATTTTATTGGTGTTTTTGGTTCTTTTTTAATTATGCTGTTACTTTCTGGGTAAAACACGTCGTCATCTCCATTTGATGACGTTGAACATTTCGAACAAGTGCTACCAATGCTACTTTCGTCTGCGTCACACTCCATAGCGCTGTTTCTTGGTAAACTTTCAAGATCCGGACTGCTACTTGATTTTGGAGAAACCGGATCGTGTCTACATTGTTGACTGTCTTTAGGTACCGAAAACACAGAATATTTCTTATTTATGTGGGGTGAACCCACTTGTACTCTTTTCCGAACTGCAGGCACGTTCAAAGAGCTACAAAATGTCACAGTTCTAGAAGTGGGATGACAAGAATCGTTTGTATTCTCAACAATTTTTGGTTCTGCATGGACATTTGCTTCTTGGACCCCTGTAACATCATTTAAAGAACAACTGTTTCGAGGACTTTGTTTCTTTGTAAAACAGGCATCATCCACGTGACTTGCGACGTCATTTACAATTTCTTGAGTGTTTATGTCCGCTTCAATTGTATTTTCACGATTATCAAAGCAGTTTAACTCTGAATGTGGTAGTGATGCTGTTGTGGTATTCTGACTATTGAGGACATCATGAACCTGATAGTATATTTTGCTGTCATCAAATTCAAAATTGATATAATGTTCCCCATAGCTTGTTTCTAACATTGAATCAAACGTTCTGCAGAGCTCGGTAAAACTTGGTCTGCTGTTTGGGTCTTCCCGCCAACAAGAACGCATGATTTGATATCTGGAAAAAAAGAGAGATTTCTTAATCAATCTTAAAACTGGTTGCTTTCCAGGGAGGCATAGAATACAAGGTGTATTGAAATGTCATTTAAACACCAACAAAAACTGGATTTACAAAATGTGTTTTGATGATTTCATTTCAAACACCTGGAAGACGATGAAAAAACGCGATAAATTTACTGACTGACATTTCAAAGATGAAAATGCCAGATAGTAATCAATGAATGAATTCTGAAATACGAAGTGTAATTGGGGACCCGGACTTTTTAAAGCACTTCAGCTTGTTTGTACAATGAATTCATTTAAAAAAGATTTTGATTTAAAAAATAATAATGTTTAGCTTTATGGTTTTAACTGATATTCAAGTTTAATATTTTAATGAGAAAGAACAGTTTAATGTGATTTATTAACACATCCTAATTGAAAGATGATAGGGATTTAGTGAAAGCCTATTCCTTTGATGGACGTTTCGGAGTTAGATGTTAGGAAAAAGAAATGGGATACATGACATACCAAAGGCGTAATATGAATCAAAATAATTCGGTCGTATTTCCATCGCAATGCTCTCTTGTACTTAATTTTATTCATGTCGAGAACATCGATTTACTAGAACAGTTCTACAACCTGAGCTTCATTGACAATAAAAAGATATCTTGATAATATTTTTACTTCCTTTGCCATTAAGTTAAGTGTAATAAGCTCCACTGATGAAAAAGAAGAGATTTTGTACAAAATTTTGCTCTTTTGGAAAGTAACATTTCAATAATTTTTTAACTTTAAGTGAGACAGATTCCCTTTTGATCTACAGTGACTTAATAAGTTAAAAAAAATCAAATTAATTTTATAGTATTGAAATCTGATCATTCACCCTCCCTTGATTTTAAATATGTCAAATGATTTTCCCCCAAAATCAGTTCCCTTATTTAAAAAATTACTTTTCATATTTAAAACTTATTTCATTAAAATCCAATCAACACCATTCTATTCAATACATTTTCCACAAAAAATGTATATTCACATTTTTTCACATCTGAACAGCCGTGGGGCAAATATAGGGGGCAGGTAAGGTGTCTCGTTTAAAATCCTGTGGATTCTTTCATAAAAATGTCATCCGTTCTGAGATTCCATCTGAGAGCCACACACGGTGTCATCTGATCCGCGGGAAGGAGAAAGTGTTAGATGGGGTGTATGTATATGTGTATCTGGTGGTCCTGATTCCGCCCCGATAACATTTCTCTCTCCTACTCTTTTATACTCTCTGACACCCCGTATAGCGAATACAGATTAATGTTTGTGGATAAAAAACTTTTATATTTCAATATATACAAAAATAATGTTCACTTTGTATGCTGTGATTCCATAATCAATAATTAATGTAATTAATAAATAGAGTGTTTTTGCTAGAAACTACTAGTGCCGCTCCAAATATTACTCAGGTTTTTTAAAGGAGAAGATAAAGTAAAACCCCTTTTTGGCCCCCGACTTTGGGTGTCTGTCAGAATGATGCAACTGTTTATCCATAAAAACATCATTTCACCCCTGCCACAAAATGAGTATATCTATATTGGTTCCAAGTTTTGGAATACTAGTATACAGAGGTCACAGAGAGGTCAGGAAATATGTCAATTTTCGATTTTTCTCATTTTTATGCAAATTTCATCGATTTTTCAGCACATTTTGTTTCGGAAAACATAGAGCTCAAGCTTGCCTATCTACCAAATTTATATATTTTTTTACACTAGTATCAGATGCAGTTTGTGTGTAAAAATCTCAGATAGGCAAGCTTGTGCTCTATGTTTTCCAAAGAGAAAAGTATCTCAAATATGATGAAATTCCACCAGAATTGAGGAAATTTAGGAAAATATCCCACTTCTGCACCCTCTTGTGGCATCTGTGCAAGCTTTGAATCAAAATTAGTTCTTGTTTTAATGCAAGCATCATTTTATCTTCAGAACTGCAAAGTATCACAATTTTACCAGTGATCTGATTTTTGCATCAAATAAGGGGCCAGATACGGCAGTTACCCTATCTTGTTCTTGCTGATTTACAAAACAACTGTCCACTCGCGAATCCATGCTTTCCCAAATTGACGTCTACGAGACATTTTTAGTGCTCGTTTAAAATAAGAATTCTCAGAAAGATGATAAAAAAGTCAGTCTATGGTGCATCTGAAGTTCGTCGTCATTTTGAAAAACTAATGAGAAATAATGTTAATTTATTAAACATAAAGATATAAATATAAGTAAATATACTAGTTTATATATTAGCTTTAAACATGTAAAGACCTCCAGTGTAGTACAATTTGAAGAGAACGTTGAACCGTCTGCAGCGGAAGTCCGCAATTAGACGCCATGTATATAAAATGGTTGACCTATCGGTTGTTTTGCCTAAAATATGATGCAGGAATATTGTCTAGTATTAAGCTGTTATAAAAATAAGATTCTTTATTTATGATATAGGACACGACTTGCGTTACATAAGGATTCTTGTGGTTACTCGCCATTTTCGTCATATTCAGCAAACTACGTGTTCTTATTGTGAGTGCTCATGTGATATAAATCATGAAAGGTATTTTATAAATTACAGGGTGTCTATGAAAATTTATCATTTACATACTATTGAATGTATTATTCCGCCTAACAGACAGTTTTAGGCGATAGAGAGAGAAAAAATCGCACGATGGGGGAGTTGACACATTTTTCTTTCACATGGTGGTGATACTGGCTATTTTCTGGCCATCTCTTGCGGTCAGTTGAAAATTAAAAAAGACTTGTCAGCTGACATTTATCAAAGGACACTTCTTTTGTTAATAGTTCATTTTAACATGGCATGAAATGACAGGCAAAATAGTTTATCACATCTCATTGTTTTCGCACACCTGTAGACCGACCGCATCACTCCTGTCATGGCGACCAATGTATCACTACATCAAGTCGCAGTATGAATAACACATTTACAATAGTTTTCTTTCTTTTCTTTTGTAAAGATTTTTAGTTCAGAGAATTGTGGATAGTTTAACATCTTTAACGATGTCAGGTGCAGAAGGATTTAAACTTATATCGATGCTGTCAAAAGAAAGACAATAGGGCGAATACATCGGTGTCCTGAAAAAGCGCCATAGGTCAAAAATAATTTAGAAGTTCAAAACACAGCCTACATCTTCGTAGGATGTAATTCGGCGAAAAGTACACAGGATTAAAGAATAAATTCACCTATACTTGTCATGAAAAACAAAGGGAACCATTGAGAAATGCAATTAAAATACAAAACATCGAATAATAATTAATAAAATAGACCACTAGATGTTGTGTTGATGAACAACGTACAGTTTGCGACTGTCGCAATGTTGTACCAATTGGCCGGAAGTTAATTGGAAAGAATTACAAGCTGAGCATCCCTAACTAAGAGCAAGATACAACCTTTTACATATGGCTTAAACTGTGTTAAACTCTTTGATGATTGCCAAACCCAGCCAAACACTGTAGCCAACAATTACCACGAGTCTGATTATTAAATGTTATATGTACTTTGTCCCACACATCGGCTTTAGTATATGTTTATGAGACCAAAAATAAAAAAAGACATTTATCATAATAAAAATCATTATAAAATCTTCATGCCAATACAGTGATACACATTTTGTTTTCAGGAAGGAAAAATATATTTATTTACAAATCCATTACCACCCACTTAAAATAAAAGTATGAATAATAAACTTTTCATATCAGTCAATACTTCACTAAATCAAATAAAATAAAAAATATTGTCATTCAAATGTTATAAAAGTAATATTCAGCGGTTTCAAAAATATTACACTATTGCCTAAATTCAATAAAAATCCGAGGTGAATTTTACACAATCTCTCTAACCTGTCTGAACCAATGGCAAGAGGGAAATAATTAAGAAAACTTAACAATTTATAGGTTTAAAAACATTTATTTTATTCATAGAATACAAAACACGGGAAACGAAATCGTTGCATGTTTGTAGTTTTTACAATGCTGCAAGAACGCGTTTTGCGGTCAAACCTTTAATAATAAGTTTGTTTCCATTTATTCAGAATTTTCATTTCAAACACAAAAGCGTCAGCTTTTGGACTGTTAGATTAATTCAGCCTTGTTCCTTTGCCTGATTAAATTCCTGCTGCATTTCATTTTTTTCCTACGCAGGTGATATTATGTCATTTTAGGAACAATGTAATCGGTGGTTTTATCTATTGACGTTAATGTCACTTACACTGCTCCAAATAACGAGAAATCAAACAAGTGGTTAAAAATGAGACAAATTCTGCCACAATTTACATACATTCGCTTTTATGACTTGGTAAGGTCTTGGTACACGACCTAGCCAGCAAAAAAAAATGTATGAGTGATTTGAAAAAATATGAATATAATGCACCCCACCGCCATTTAAAAAAATATATATGATGCAAACATGTAATTTCTTTTCCATTTGTTTTCAGCTAGATCATAAAATAAACTTCTATCACTCATGACTGTTGAATGCAAATAAAAGTTTTAAAGACAATAAAAAGACATGGGTTTTATGTTATTAATTGTGCGCATAATTAAAACGCTTGAAACAGATGCATAAACGCGAGTCGAAATTCGTGAATATCGTACCTCACCTTTATCGTGTATAGAAGATAACATATTGAAGCTGAACCTCTTTGTTAACCACAGAAAACAACAGATATATTATTATGAATAAAATTTTCATTGTTATATCATCTTTTCATGATTCACACATAAGTGGTGTGCATGCATATGCTTCCTATTCAAAGAATTAGGCAACCTCAATCCCCGCTGGATTTTTCTTTCATGAGAGAGAAAAAGAGAGAAGTCATTTGGTAATATGTGTTTATGTATATTACATAGAGCGAAATGTGGTCCGGATTCATAGACTAATTCTACCTGTACTCACATATTCTAAGATAAAATACTAATGTCATGTTGTAAAATTTGAATTTACCGGGTGGCAGTAAATACAAAGTTTACACAT